TGGGTGTGGGTGTGGGGGGGGGGATGTGTGGGTGTGGGTGGGTGGGTGCGTGTGTGTGATTACCTGTGTGTGTGTGTGATTACCTGTGTGTGTGTGTGATTACCTGTGTGTGTGTGTGTGATTACCTGTGTGCGTGTGCGAAGCAGCGTCCCTGAACGCTCACAGAGCGCGAAACCAACACGATGCACGTGCGTATGCGCAGCGCGATCTGCTTGAGGAGGATGTGAGCGGGGAACTGATGAGCGAGGAGATGCATCCGTCCACGACACCGGAGGTGAGACGACGACGATGCCCCATTTTGCTCGTCCCTATTCTCCCCCGCGACTGACCCGTCTATTCTCTGGGCACCGTTCCACCCTCACTATCCCACTTCTCGTTCTGTTTGGCTCTCTCCATCATCATCATCATCATCATCATCATCATCATCATCATCACCATCATCATCATCATCATCATCATCATCATCATCATCATCACCATCATCATCATCACCATCATCACCATCACCATCATCATCATCACCATCATCATCATCATCACCACCATCATCATCATCATCACCACCACCCCTTTCACACCACCATCACCATCCCCTCCTCCTCCACCACTGCTCCAGGCTGCTGGGGTGCACCTGTTCTTGACCATTGCAGAGACGCGACCATCGCTCGTGTGTTCCGTGATTGCACCACTTCTCTCTCCGCAGAGCATTCACACCGCCGACACACACACGCGACCCGCCGTGCTGGGCGCACTCAAGCTGGGTACGCGTGCCGTGACTTGGAGGGAGGGAGGGGCAGTGAGCTGTGGAGATTGATGGATTTGTGTTTGGGTGGATGGATGTGTATGTGTGTTTGGATGGGTTGCTGTATCCGTGTTACGATCTGGGGATGTGTGTTTCTTGGGGAAGTGCGACCTTCTCACGCTAGTTTCAAGAGGAGCAAGCACGCATGCGTGGTTCATGCATGTGTGCAGGGAGGCGTGACTCTGTGCTCTCATGTGCTTGTCCCTTCAACCATGCGACCGAAATGCATCATTGCTTTGCTGTCAGCTCTCACTCGTCGATCGCCTCACACCACATTCAACTTCAACACCACTACCACATCGACCACCATCGCTCACACGGCCGCCCCAACAGGCGCATATGCGTTACGCGACGCCGTGGACATCAACGCACTGCTTCCAACGCTCCTACAACTCTTCCACGAGCACACGCACAACCGCGTTGCTGTTCGTCGCCGTGTCCTGCAGGTGTTTGCGTCCTGGCTCCCCGTCACGCTTTCCGACGAGAGCAAACTCGAACTCTACAGGTGTGCGTGTGTGTGTGTGTGTGTGTGTGTGTGTGTGTGTGTGTGTGTGTGTGTGTGTGTGTGTGTGTGTGTGGACGTGTGTGGACGTGTGTGGACGTGTGGATGTGTGGATGTGTGTGTGGACGTGTGGACGTGTGTGTGGGAACGTTTGTGGACGTGTGTGTGTGGACGTGTGGACGTGTGGACGTGTGTGTGGGAACGTTTGTGGACGTTGGTACATTACTTAATGTGTGCGTGCGTGTGTGTGTGTGGTGTTCTCTAGCATAGTTTTGTGTTGTAATGTGTCGCGTGCCAATCGCTCCCTTACACGATATCACAACTCCACAATCTCACGTCTTCCCCTCCCCACTGCACTCCCACTGTCCACCGTCATCACTGCGCTAGGTTGCTGGTGCCTGCTCTCTCGGCGCAATTCTGCCCCTCTGTCCAGATGGAAGCGGTGTCCACCCTCACCGCAGCCGTCAACGACCCCGACTTCTCACACATCGGCTTCAAACCCTTTGCTGAAGTACGGAAGGCGTTTCTCTGGGGTGAATCTGTGTGTGCGTGCGTGTGTGTGCGTGCGCACGTGTGCGTGTGTGCGTGCGTGCGTGTGTGTGTGTGTGTGTGTGTGTGTGTGTGTGTGTGTGTGTGTGTGTGTGTGTGTGTGTGTGTGTGTGTGTGTGTGTTTCTGTGCAGGATTACCTGTGTGTTTTGATTGCCAACGTGAACGTCGCTTCTCCCCCTGTTCTCTTCAAACAACAACGCGCGCGCGCACGCGCACACGCACACACACACACACACATGTGCACATGCGTTGCGTGCAGGATCTGTTTGTTGGCGTGTGCACGTTTTTGTCTGAGGTTGAGGACTGGGACGCCCGTGTGCAGATTATGGATGCTCTCATCAACATGATCAAGAACGTCGAGAAGGAGGTGGGACCACTCAACATGCACTCATCCACACACCCACATATACACACATGTCTGCACATGCATACGCACATACACGCACTTTTACGTCAATGCTCCCACGGATGTGCACTGCCACAGTCAAACATGCACAAATCTCCTTCATACCACCGCCACAACTACCACGACGATCATCTCCACGACTACACACCATCCCCTCACACCATGACCGTGTAAACTCAGGCCGTGCGGTTCAAGAGTGCACTGGTGACATACATCCCGCACCTGTGGACAGAGGCGGAGGCTGCGGCCAACAACACCATGATCATGCGTGTTGTTGAGCTCGTCACGACGCTGCTGACGGCGACTGAATCGAGTGATGGCCTGGATGAGATTGCGCTGCCCGTCATCACCACAGGCGTCGATGTCTCGCGAAAGGAGAGCGAATATCTCCTCGATCACGCCCTCGAGCTCTGGTGTGTGCAGTGTATGTGTGTGTCTGCCTGTCCGCCTCTCTCTCTCTCTCTCTCTCTCTCTCTCTCTCTCTCTCTCTCTCTCTCTCTCTCTCTCTCTCTCTCTCTCTCTCTCTCTCTCTCTCTCTCTCTCTCTCTCTCTCTCTCTCTCTCTCTCTCTCTCTCTCTTTCTGTCTGTTTCTGTTGGTCAATCGACTGTTCATCCCTGGTGTTGTGTTGTATGTTGGACATGAATCGTACCATTCTACCCCACCACTGCCTGCCACCTCACCAATTCCTCGTGTCCACGCGGTCTGCAGGGAGGCGTATCTTGTGCACATGCGCGTGTGCACTGACGAGTTGGCAGCTGCATTTTCGCTCCTCCCTCCCCTCCTTGATCTTGGTATGCTTGACGATGGGGACACGCGTTGTTGCCGTGTGCGGACTCGCATTTTGCTGGATGGCTACACCGCACCAACACAAACACATTTCGTCTAAGATGCACCCGCACTGTTGTACTCCAACACACTCACTCATTAACATGCCACCACACACACACACACACACACACACACACATACACACACGCACACACACACACACACACCACGTACATCCCCTCTGCCTAGGTGATGAGAATCTCGGCACGTGCATGCGCATTCTGCAATCGTACATTTTGCTCGCACACCAACAGCTTCTGCAGCCAGAGAGCGTTCATCTCGTTGTCAGTGCCTGCATGCAATTGTCATCCTCTGTTCCTCGTCAGGCCTTTCGCTCCTTCATCGACGTAAGAACAAGCGCACATGCACTCAATAGCGACACTGACTGCATGTTGTGTGTCTGTGTGCTTGTTGAGAGTGTGTGATAGTGGGGGTGAGGGTGAGAAAGACAGAGCTAGTGTGTGTGTGTGTGTGTGTTTTGAGTGTGTGTTTAAGGAGTGTATGCAGCACATAAACGTGCATGTGATGCTGCTTGTTGATTGTAGCTCCCAGTTGACCTGTTGAGTGGGATGCCAATGATGGGCGATTGAGCCAAGTCCATTGGTCCTCGCTCGCACTGGCTCACATGTGTGTGTGTGTGTGTGTTTGTGTGTGTGTGTGTGTGTGTGTGTGTGTGTGTGTGTGTGTGTGTGTGTGTGTGTGTGTGTGTGTGTGTGTGTGCGTGTTCATGTTCGCCAGATCGTGGACATGTGCATTCTTTTGGCACCGGGGGAGAGCGTAGATGCGTTTGCACCCGTCATCCAGGCCGGGCTCGACGGCTTTGCGGAGCACGAGGTGTGTGCGTGTGTGTGTGTGTATGTGTGTGTGTGTGTGCGTGTGTGTGTGTGTGTGTGTGTGTGTATTGTCGTTGCTCACGTCACAGTCGTGTTCCTTCTCGTCCTCTCCCTTTTCAACCCACCTCCTCACCACAACCCCCCTCGCCCACGCTACCAACACCGACAGAAGCATTCGTGGTTCATCACGGGCTACCTTGCCCTCGCGTGTCGCTGCATGGTGTCTGCTCCGTCACCGCTAACGAATGCACTCCCAAGCGGCGGTGAACGCGATGCTCTGGCACACATCTGGTCCCTCATCGCAGACAAGGTGCGCTCGCTTCCACACTGCCGTGTTTTGGCACGTAGGTCGTCACGGGCGCACATGAGCGCGTTCACAACGCGCGCACACACACACTCACTCACTCACTCACTCACTCACTCACTCACTCACTCCCTCACTCACTCACTCACTCCCTCACTCACTCACTCACTCACTCACTCACTCACTCACTCACTCACTCACTCACTCACTCACTCACTCACGTGTTTGTGTGCGCTTACGCTGTTGCTGACTTGCTTGTCCACGTTCCAACAACAGTATGATGCAATCACCGTGCCGAAATGGCGGAAATTGGTTGCGCTGGCTGCTCTCGCCTGCTTGACAAACGACACTTGGGTACGCTGTGTGTGTGTGTGTGTGTCTGTCTGTCTGTGAATGTGTGTGTGTGTGTGCGTCTGTGTCTGTGTCTGTGTCTGTGTGTGTGTCTATCTGCCTACCTGCCTGCCTGCCTGCCTGCCTGCCTGCCTGTTTATGTGGGCCATGTACACGCTCTCCTTCACATGCGTGTTTGCGCCTCACCCTCAACCCCTATCATCACCATCCCCACCACCAGAGCGAGATCATGTTGGCAGATGCGTCTGCGATCCTCAATGTCGTCATCGCCGCCGTCTACGAATTCCACACGGGGCGGTGGGTCACGATGAACATGGCAATGGCAATGCCTGCAGGCATGCAAATCCGGACGACACCCAATACCACCCGCGACATGCAATGACATGCACGTATTCACCTTGTACACACTCACACACACACACACGCACGCACACACACACACACACACACACATACACACCAACCCCCTGCAGCACCGGTGCGCGGCAGGCAGAGGACTACTTGGTGATGGCAGACGCAGAAGATGTGACGTGGAGGGAAAATCCAAACGCAATTCCAGAATCCATCAGAAAGAAGGAGGTGCGCACATTGGAGTGTTTTTGTTTCGGAGATCTTCACTCCATCGCCACATGCACGCACTGACACACACACACACACACACACACACACACACACACACACACACACACACACACACACACACACATACACACACACACACACAACCAACAGGTGCAAGTGCTTGACCCGGTGTTTCGTGTGCACCTTCAGCCACACTTTGCGGAGACACTGCAGCACGTCATATCTGTGCGTGGAACAGCTGTGCTCGACAGTTTGGACGCAGGACTGCAGACACAAGTGCGCGAGCTCATGGGGTTGTAACACGTGTTCCTTGTGAGGGGTTGTCTTCTCTCGCCGTGTGTATTGAACGAACCAAGTGTTATGTTACAGCAAACACCTTTCATGACAAGGGAAAGCAGTGGTGGATAAACGGGGTGCGGCAGCAGGGAGGGGAACGTGCTGTGTACAATCAAGACCCAAAGCGGCGACAAGCAAGCAGGCGCAAATATAAAAAAAAAACCGACAATGGTGAATGATGTCAAGTGACAATGATGACGACGACGATGGTGGTGATGATGATACAGTATAGCGGTGGCAGCAATGTCTTTCCTCATGAGGACTCGCTGCTCTCTCCAGAGGCACAAGCGTACAGTAACAAAGCAAGCAAGAAACAAACACAAGAAGCAAAGCAGACGCATGCCAGTTTGCCTGCAGGCAAGACAAGTAACACATGTTGTGGCGCACAACCAACAACCAACAAACACTGTTAGCCCTGTGCCGTCAGTTCTGCTTTTGGCGGTTGACTGGGCGAAGCACGGAGCAGCAGTGAAACTTGGTAAAGTCGAAGACAACCTTGTTCTTCTTGTGGTGTGTCATGGGCTTGAACGCTGCGTCTGTCAACAGATGCGCAGACGTGTACTGGTGGTAGTGGTACACCGGCTGCATGCTCTTCTCGTCAATCCCAGATAGCAGCACGGAGAACTCAATGTCCTATGGCATGGTGATGGTGACGTGGGTCGTGGTCGTGGTGAGCACGTACGTTTTTGTTGGAACGGACAGTCGTGGTGGGGCGTTGAGTGTGTGAGCCAGTCGAGCGTCAAATGGGTTCAAGGGTTCAAGCACGACGCAGACAAGCTGAACAATATCCGATGCCTGCAAGGCACAACGCAAGCACACACACACACACACACACACACACACACACACACACACACACACACACACACATATTCGTACGCACACAGTACCTGTGCATGCAACTTCTCCCAGTTTTCGTTGAGCAGCGGGGATTCGCTGTCAATGACGTGCACACAACTCCACATCACAGGCATGGCGGCCGTCTCGTGCGCAACCTCAAAGGGTGAAAGAGGGGTTAATGATCAAAGCAAGCCACCCGGTGCATCGGTTTGTGTGTTGGGATGTGAGAATAGGCTCATGCTGCAAACATCAGAGTGACGCAACATTCAAACTTGGAAAACACGCAGCCGACACGCAGAAGCACACGCAAGGGTGTCATGATTGTTGAGGATTGTCGGTTGGTATCCTTCATCCGTTTCAACTCACCAGGGGCAGGCGGATAAAGCGTCTGCGTGCAGACCCGTGCTGCAGACGGGGCGTGAATCCCATCGTCACTTGCACGCGAGCCTTTGGAGACAGAAGGAGGGCGTTGACATTGAAGAATTTGAGGGTGTGGCGTAGCGGCAAGGCGTTGATGGCAATTGCACACGTGTGCGACAAAGACAAGCAAAGCACCAGGTAGCGAGTGCGTGGCATGGTCATGACGTGAACATGCAACACTCGAACAAGAAGTGTTGTCCGTATTCTCCTCAACTTCTTTGAGTGTCCGTTCAACGTCAACTTCAATGGAAGAGTACAAGCACGAAAGCACCCACACATGCACAAATATATTCACACACGCGAGCGCACACACAGACACGCGCGCGCACAGATAACATGCGTTCCATTACTGCGGGCTTGAACGCTCGTACCTGAAGAATGCGACGCGATGTGCCATAGAGGTTTCCGATGCGAAACTCGAGTGTCTTGCGTGACGTGATCTCACGATTGTCGCCCATGCATATCCTGGCATGGATTGATCGATTGGTGTGGGCACATCAGACAGGGTAGCGGTGTGTGTTGTAAAGGCACATCCACGCGTGCATGTTGTAAAAGGCGCGCGCGCGCGCGGTGTGTGTGTGTGTGTGTGTGTGTGTGTGTGTGTGTGTGTGTGTGTGTGTGTGTGTGTGTGCGTGTGTGTGCGTGTGTGCGTGTGTGCGTGTGTGCGTGGTGCACACGATGCATATGCAGGTACACACAAGCCCGCACACGTACCACTTGGAAAAGAGAATAAAGGGTGGTCGTTTCGAGAGACGCATGATGAAGAAGCCGAGGAATGCAAGCCGAAGCAGAGTTCCGAGGACAGATACCGCCTGTTGATCAACAACCAGTCGTTGTAAGCGCTCGCACCGGGCAGCACGCCAAATAAATAAATTGCATGCAGGCAAAGAGCAAGCGCCCGAGCACGAACGCAAGCTCACACCACAAGCACAGAAGCAGTGACGATTGTACATACACAAACACACGCACACCAAACAGACGCACACGCACACCAAACAGACGCACACGCACACACATACCCACACACGCACACACATGCGCACAGTCTCTCTTACACAACACAGACACATACAGCACTCACCATGGCTGTTACGTAGACTGCGCCGTCCATACTGAGCCTCACAGCACACCAATCGTCGCTGTTGGTGAGGAGAAGCGAGAGCATGGATTGGAAGCACTGCCATGCTGTTGCACGCCGTGTGGCAACCTCAGCGCTGCCGGATGTGGCTGAGCACGGTGCGTCATCACGCACGTGGGCATGCAGGCCGAAGTAGAGCAAACCGGATGCAAGGAACGCAATCATGACGATGATGAGCACCAGCTCCGAGATGGTGCGAAACATGTGCCGCGCGTGGTGGGTGTACCGCAGGTAAGGGCTGAGCCCAAGGCCCTTGACGCGCGTGCGCGCGTGACGGGAGCCACTGCCTTTCATTGCAGCGCTGCTGTGAAGGAAGAAGAGCGGCGAGCTGCCGTCGTAGTCCGCATGCGAATGGGAGAGCGCATATCGGCGCTCCCGGCTGTCCTTCGCACCGCCAAACCTGTTCCGCAGCCAGCGCAACGGGCCACGCCCATCTGTGCCAGTCTCCTCAGATTGCTTGCGCGCACGCGCGCCTTTGGTATTGTTGGATGACTGCGTGGATGCAGCCAGCGCCTCGGGGCGTTCGTTGCGAACAGACACAACCCTGCCGACGGGCACGCGCGTCTCGTCCTGCTGCTGGCTGGCGGCGGGGCCAGGAGGGGTGGACGTGGTGGTGGGCGGTGCCGCGGTGGCGCCGTTACTGAGGTTGAAGATGGCGCTTGGCTTGTGCGCATCGCCGTCAAGGAAGCGCTGTCCGCTGCCGCGCGGTGTGCTGCCGACGGAGCTATCACCTCCGTGTTCCGTGAATGCCCCGAGATGGTCGTCATGCGAATAGGAGGAGTTATGTGTGTCTCGTGTGTGCGGCCCGGATGAGCCGTCACGCCCACTGGGTGACTGCTTGTTCGATGACACCGCTGTGTGCTGGCGATAGCGCCGCCGCTGCTGATGCTGTTCCAGGTCCTGGGATGTGACGCTGGCTCGCGTCTGCTCAAACATGCGAAAGGCGTCTGACCCAGCAGAGTGGCGGTGTGCTGGCTCGTTTCCGAGCGACTCCACTGACACGCGAGCCGCGTGTGCGTGGGAGGGGCTGGTGGCGGATGCGTACATGGCTGAAGGGTACATCACTTGCGAGCCCGCAGTGACGTCGAGGACGGAGTGGCTGTCGTCATTGTGGTGGTGCTTCTACATGGTGAAGGTGGATGCATGCAGTGAAGGAGGGAAGGAAGGGAAGATGTAGGAAGGAATGTGTGAGTGTGACGGGTGGAGTAAGGTGAATGGTGCTCGCATGCACAACCGCATAAAAGCAAACGTGCACTGACAGGCAAGGCATAAGGATGTGTGTGTGTGTGTGTGTGTGTCTGTGTCTGTGTGTGTGTGTGTGTGTGTGTGTGTGTGTGTGTGTGTGTGTGTGTGTGTGTGTGTGTGTGTGTGTGTGTGTGTGTGTGTCTGTCTGTCTGTGTCGATCCCGTCATGGTTCCCTGTCGCATAGAAGGGGGGGAAGGAGGGTGCAAATCTCTCTCACACACGCACACACTCGCTCACGCACACACTAGCTCACGCACACACCTTGCGACGGCGAAAGAAGAGGTTTGGCATGGTGCTTGTCCTTGTTGCTGTGGGGAATGCTGGTGCTGTTGCTTGCAAGCAAACAAGGACGTGTGCAAGAAGGACCGGCTAGCTAGTGGGGGCGTTGTTTTTGTCGTTGCGGATTTGTTTTGCTTTCTTTCTTTCTTTCAATCTCTTCGCCACAAACCAACAAGCAAAGGAAGCAAGAAGCAAGCAGCAGCACGCACTCCACTGACAACACCACAATCTACACAACCAAAACAAGCAGGCAAGCAAGCAAGGGAACACACACGGGAGACAGGCACAATCTACACAAGCAAGACAAGCAACAAGCAAGCAACCAAGCAAGAAGCAGGCACACATGACACACAGCAAGAGGCGGGGAAAGGCAGAGCAGCATCGATCACGCGAGAACTTGCTGCACATCCTTCATTTACCCCCCCCCCCATCCCAAACACACACACACAGATGTGCGCACGCACGCATGCACGAAGGTGCGTCTTAGGAGGACTTTGGCTTCTTGTCGTCCTTCTTGGCGTATGTCTTGCGATCAAAGTCCGTGAAGAGGAAGAGCATGGAGGCAATGTAGATGAGATACATG